TTGTGTAAAAGCTGATTAGTGTATTGTTTATATAGAGGGACCTCACACTGCATTTGAAGTTGGAAATATATACGTCGATCAATTCCCTCAACGTGTGTGGAAGGCAATTGGACATCGCATATAACAAGGAATAGCAGCCGCCTTGTACTAATCCTTTATTCGTCCTTCCTTTTCTTCTATTCCTATTCCTCCAACGGATGTTTATCAGTTCTTTAGCCAGAAAACAGTGATTCATAATAAGTTTGTACAAAGCAGTTGTAGTACCTACTCATATTCATTAACTGGTATAGTTTTAAGCATACCTCCATGGTATGATAGTTTATAAGTAGGTAACTAAAGTAGAGGAGCGGAGAGGCGGGGGCGCAGGTGGTTAGCGCTTTTGGCTGCGATCGTTGAAGTTAAGCAACTTTCGCAGTGGTCGGTCATTGGACGGGTGACCAAAAATCTTCTATCTCGAGTACCTCCGTGCTTTGGAAGGTACGTTAAAGCCGTTGGTCCCGGCTGCATCTGCAGTCGTTAGCACCCGCAAATCCCCACAGGGCCCGCGTGGTGCGTCATGGCCCAATCTCCCTATTCCGTCCATAGGAAAGGCCTGTGCCCCAGCAGTGCGGACATTAATAGGCTGATGATGAACTAAAGTAATCAGATTACACTGCAACTGCAGTAAAAACACAAAAACGGCATCGCTAGTATGGTGCGCGTACGCAAAACGCATACGTTGGACGATATCTTTTAACTTGAACGTTTCTTTCTTTTACCCACCCCAGCTAGACAGCTTCTGGGTTATGTTCATACCTGACCAGATTTTCTTACAATAATATTGATCCAATTTAAAACCCTTGGGATAGAAGGAGTCAAGAGATGCTCGGTGCAAGTAAAAACTTTGCAAAAAGTACTTTTCTGCAAGTAAAATAATAATAAACAGCTATAATTCATAAAAAATTATGTTGCAGATAACAAAATAGTTCGGTTACAAATAACAGTACAGTGAAGCTATACTGAAGCAATCACTTTGTAAACAATTACTGAACAAGTGTAAGAATTAACAAAACAGTTTTGTAATTTTACATAACTGTTTTTTAGAACAAAACTTTTTTAACAAAACCGAGTTTGTCTACTTGTAACTATAGTTATGTAGTCACTATTTTTATGAAACATTTTTTTTTGTTTTATGTAACTCAAAATTTTCAGTGTGTCTTTGTAAGACATAAAAAAATCTATTAATTCATAGCTCATGAACAATTTTTTGGAATATTTACCAAAAGGAAGTAAGTCCATATTCCGACAAATACTAAACTTATTTTATGCTTATTTTTTAGATGGTCGCTTTTTAAAGTCTATATTGTATATTATATGTTTTTAAATCATGGTCGTGTTAGTTACACCACATATAATATAAATCAAGAACAATTTTAATGAGCTCTGATTTTTTGGATTCTTTTCCGTCCTGAATAATAACAAGAATAATTATTAAAACATCGGAAAATATACAAAAAGTAATGCAGAAACGTAGAAAAGTAATAAACAAATCAGTACTCCTAGCACGAACTAATATCGAATTCCGAAATGTCATTGTCAAATGTGTACTGATTTTTAGTTCTCGTTACGTACTTTGTACCGCTGCTGTTCAAGTTTTCATACAAAATTTGACATTGACATTTCGGTTTGTAAACTATTCGAATTCGATAATGGTTCGTGCTAGGGGTACAGAAGCCCAAACACGAGTTTTTGACAGCTCCGTAAAGTATCGTAATCGCCAAATTTTGTATGAAAAAAGTTAGTTTGTTCTTAAGCTTAGATAGGGGCGCTGCCTAGTTTTCATAGAAACTTTGACGATGCGATACGTTACGGAGCTGCCAAAAATTCGAGCTTGGGCCTCTGGCCTATTGAAATGACGAACATATGTATATATAATATGACATTACATCTCGCACATATTCATGCACATGACACGGACTACCTGTGTACATGCGTTGCTTATAGCAATCCCCAACCACTAGCTGAATCTCCTTTGGTGTTAATTGTATCACGTAATACACTTCGAACGCAGTTTGGGTTGGTTCAACCGAATGAAAGTAGGTTCTCTATTTATATTTTGACGAACTTGCCAGCACAATATTGCGGAAGAAACCGATGTTATCACAGCAAACAAGTGTCAGAATATTGACGAAATATAAATATGCTAACTAATCTATCAGGATTATCTTAGTAGCCTGTAATAAAACAATCAAAATGAATATCTTAGAAGAAAAACTTGCGTATTTCATAAGAGGGTGGACAGAATTGTGTGATTATTTAGCATAATATTTAGTCTTTACCCAATATTCTATATAAATTGAGTTCCATGTTTTAGGAAAGTTTAGTTTTAACTTTTAACCAAACGGAGTAATATTTATGTCATGTTGAAACAAAAAATATGATATTGATATCTCATTGATACTAGTAATATTGAAGTGATCATCTCCTTGCCAAAAAATATCAGTAGTTATTGCAACGTATCTTACGTTAAAGTATCTATGAACATATATACATATATAACAAAGTCGTGTTATTTAGACCACTTATAACTCAAGAACGGTTAAATCATATTCTTTTATTCGGTTGTAAAATCATTAATTTAATTAAGCTTAAAATTTAATCTATCTATCTAATTCATCGACTGTACGAAATTAGCGTTGCAAAGCTTGTCATCAATTATGAATCAAAACCAACTTATAATCAGGTGCAGATTTACTTAGCAAACGTGGAAATATTTATGCGTTGTTATTTGTCATCCAAATCCAAGTGTACTTTATTTTGGGGAAATAATAGGCAGACAAGAAGCTGCTCCAAAGTTGTTATTAAATTTTAAATGGTTTAATAGTTCAGATGTATATACAATCAAAATTAATGTTAAATTATATTATCTAGCAAAAAAGAAGTTCGAATTCCAATAATTGTGTGATCAGCACAAACATTTCTTCCCTTTTATGAATATTTCCATATTTATAAATTAAAAAAAAAATCTATTGTAGCACAGCTTTACTTATTTTGGGACCGCATAATTGTTGTTTCTTGTTCGGAATATATTTATTAGATAATGTTCATTTATTTCATATATCGAACTTTAGACTTCCTTGGAGTGGATGTTCTACTATGTCGTTAGGTAAAACATTATTGTTGTCTTGATCAAGGAAGGTATCATAGCGGATTTAGAGAAAGCGCAGTGATGTTTACGCTTGAATTGGAGCACCAGTGGAAGCCTTACCGCCTTACGGACATAAGACCAAATCAACATTAATAGTTTTGTGTTTTTGTTGGTGAGTAAGGTATGGTGTTTCTTTCGGTGCAAGGACTCCACGGGGTGAAATTTTATTCTGGCTGTTATGATGTGGACGCCTAGAGCGATCTTTTTTCATTTAACAGTTAAAAACACCAGATAGGATAAAGGTTAGCAGGAGTCCGCAAAAAGCTTTTTTTTTTAATGCTTAATAGGCAAGGCGGTTGACAACAATTCCGCCTAATGGAAAGCGATGATAAGGCCTGGGATGGTACATACCTGTCTACTTGCCTTTTTACTTTGGTCTTGAAGATATCCAGATTATATTGGTCCGGGAAAACTGACCTAGGCAAGGAGTTCCACTCCCTAGCCGTTCGCAAAATGAAAGCGGAAGCAAATCGCTTCGTGGGAATGGGAGGATCTTTGACAACATAAGGTAAGCCCTCGCCTGGTCGTCCGGTGGTGGAAAGGGGAAGGGGGGATCAAATTATGTGATACCTCCGCACTCTCTCCGAAATTTAATAGCGAATGCTCATATTTCTGCATTTTGGGATGCTTGTCCTGCAATGGTAAGTAAGACGGTGACCGGCATTTCCAACTTTTTTAGGCTTTCTTTCTACATTTGACTGAAATTTAAAAATATGACTGCGTTATTTTTGTTGGTCTCAACCAGGACAACCTGGAGAACTATCTTGTTTAAAAGTAATTATTGTTTCTGATTTTATGGGCTGTGCAGTCCTATATGGAACTGTGCTTATTTTTCATTGCGTTTTGAAGGTCGTCCTTAACATTGTTTAAGGCTTAGATTTTTTTTTATCTCCTTTGGGTCAGTAGGAACAGCAGAGAAGGAGTTAACTGGTTTTCCATCTTTCTTGAGAGTTTGCGTTAGTTCAGTGTCTGTCCTATTTATTTATTATAGTGGTGTCGATTCTTACACGATTCTCGAAATCTAAATTTAAATTTGACAACAGTGTGTCCTTGTTCTGCTTTATACAGAATGAAAAGGAGAGACTGATGTTAATTTTAGTTTTAAATTTAGAGAATCATGCCAGAATCGACACCAGTGTCTGGTTAAACTTGACGAACTCTGACTTATAGTTGAACAATTAAGTTAAAATATTCGTTGACTTTATGCTTCGTAAAAATTTCTAACCTTTAAGAATTTTCTTTGTATTTTAAATATGTTCTTTTATAGAAGCTCTTCCTGGAAGTATGTATTTTTTGAGAAATTAATGATTTTGTTGCAATGTTTCTTCCAATATACTCGCTATTCACTTGAGTATCGTGGGGATGTTTATTAAACTTTTTATATAGTGCGTTAATTTTCATTTGAATGATCAAATGACAATATTTAACAGAAATTACTTTCGCATTTATAATATTAGTATAGATACCTGTTCAGAAATAGTTTTATGATTGTTATGCTACTTATTACGCAGAAATGTTAAAATTTTCTTCTTGTCATGATCGAAGTGAATTAATTAATTATCTGTACCAAATAATGGAGGTGCAATTAGCATGTAAACATAGAAAAGCGATATAAGGTTTGTCAGGACAATAATTTAAATGAAACACGCACGGCAACATTAACGGTCTCATTAGCGCGCGGCTCGCAATCCGCAGTTATCCGGTTCATGATCGTTGTTAATCACTGCGCGCGATCAATGCTGCGCCACAAGTACTAGTATTATTTTATAGTTCGAATAAAACAATATACGCGCAGCGGGCGGAGCGTATTACACAAATATCAGTTTGATATCGCGCAGTTTGATTCGCCGTGACGTGGACGCCTTAAGGCGGGGCTTGGCTGGGAGGGGGTGCCGGGCGCGATGCTCGCCATACCATTCCGTGCGAGCGTAGCCGTCGCTCGTGTGAAGTGCCCGTGCGTCTCGTGTCCGTGTCCTATGTCCGTGCGCGTGTGAGGGTGTGAGCACGTGCCAGTCCCCCTGAGTGGCTTATTCGTCGTCTCGTGCAGAGAAGCCGCCAAGATTCGGGTGAAGAACCGCGAGCCGGTGCCGGCGTACGCCATGGCGGACGCCGACCGCGATTCGGACCTTGGCGATGACAGCCCAGTGGTGAGTCGACGACCTAAGCTTTGTTTTGCACAGGTTATCGACTGCCGGTTGCTGCTAGGCCAGCCGCCGGTAGTTGCTTGCTGGCGGTGCAGTTGTCAACACCTAACAGCGCGTGCAATGAAGGTGTTTACTGTGCATTAGCAATAAGTACATATATCCCTCATTGACGCTGATCAATCAATTAAAATAACTTGAACATGTAGAGATTGTAGATCAAATAGGAGTCCTATTAGAATTTAACATTTATTCATTGTTTTGCTTAAAGGAACTAGGTACTGCTTGTTTTATAACCTTTAACCTAAGATATTGAGTGTCATTCAAGCAAAGACATTAATGAAAATTTTGTTAAGGCACCATTTTAAGTATTAAACATAAATTCAGTTCGTGAGACATCTGCAAGAAAATATAAAGTTTACAAAATTATTTTCTGCCACATATCTCATATTTACAACCTTACATTAAAAAGGCAACATACGCACAATTCAAAAAGAGAAAAGACTAACATTACCGTAACAGTATATGCAATAACTTCTAAGCTTTAATAACATTGATGTTTAAGTTCGTAATTCTAATCAGTCGATGATACTTAAATCATCATTAAAATAAGTGCAGAAGATCATAAAGCATAAGTAAACACGAGTAAATATAATCACACAAGCGTTAACATTTTGCAAGCTCAGTACTTTACTACCTACTTACACCATGATAGTTTAAACTGAGGAAATTTACCATAAAAACAACCTTCACATATTTTTACTACCTACTTTAAACAATAGTGTTCGCATCTGGTATTAGACCTTTTTGGGGATTGTTTGTTTTCGAGACTTATCTTCGGCACAAAGGTTCAATTGAAATTTGTAAGTAAAGTTGGTAATATTTTATTTGCATAGGTACTAAAATTGTTTGTTATCATTGATTTTGTACCTGTCTTTGTTTAGAATTTTTAATGTCGTTTAGGTACGGTTGCTCTGTTACCTGTTCACTTTATTTGGACGTGTCCTTTTTCGTTTTTTTTTTTATTTGGGCATTCATTTGATCAGCAAAAATATTTTAACTAGGTATTGGTGTCAATTCTGGCATTATTCTCTAAACTTAAACTTCAATTTGACAGCAGTTTATACCTGTTATTCTCTATACAGAATGAAAAGGAGAGAATGATGTTAAATTTAGTTCATTATATTTCTAAGCCAACTTTTGTTGCTGCTGTACAAAAGCTTAATATTAGACATTTAAGAATTCAAACATGCGTAGTTATATCAATTTAGTCATATAATAAGCTTGTTTACTATTAAAGTATATTTTCACTGAAACGGCCCCAAATATAATCATAATTTAATTTGAAAAGTATACAATGAACATAAGAATTGATTAAATTTGTCAATCAGTATCTATGTTATATGTTGGTATTAAAACATATGTAGTATCAATTGACTCTTAGATCTTAAAGACTCGAGAGTTTTCTGATGTTTGCTGCAACTCAATTTCATTATTAATCAATTTCGATTAATTATGTTATGTATATATGTATAAATTAATTATTTATGACTTAAAATAAACTTAGTAGGTAGCAACTTTTACCTAGAATACTTAATATTGAACATAGTTACCAAAATAATCTTAATACTTTTAAATATTTTGAATTTATTAGTATTGTTTTAAAAGTTTTTCTAAAACACGAAGAAACTTGACTATTTATTGGTAAAATTCTCTCTTCAGAGTTATGATTGAAATGCACAGAACTTAATAATATTTGAACATCAGTTAAAACAAGAGTTTCGATGACAAAGTTGAGCTTGCCTGTTTTTTTTTGTTTCTGCAAAAACCGTGAATGGTGACAAAAATGGCCGCACCACATGTGTTGCTAGGCTTTAGCGGCAGCTTTTACGAAATGGCGCCGTTATGATTATTAATAACAAAATCCTCGACTTTCAAGTTTGTTTTATTGTACGTTACCGGAGACCCTTTTACCATATGCACAGCCTCTAGGAAATCCAAGGGCATTGTTTATTCGGTAGAGCAATTCTGAAGTCATTCATTCATATTGAAATATTATAAATGATTTTAATGTTTTATGACTTTACCTACGTTTTTGTGGAGTGACACAATTCAAAGATTTCACTGGAATTATAGTTTGCGCCGAAACGACTCCTGGGAATTCTAATGATCTAAAGGAACCAGATCTGACGGCTTTATTATCGCTTACCTGTACATCGTTAGTGGTTTATTTCGGTCTAGACGGATATAATGTTTGCGTTTGACTGAATCATTTATTCAGCGGCGTGTCCAACGCTGGAGACATCTCACGGGAGGCCGGGGCTCACGCACGATTTATTATCTCTCGGCGAATAGAGGGCACAAATTAATTAATCAAACCTAGCTGTCACTCAGTGCACAATCGCGGACTAAAGTTAGCACCGAAGAGCCGACGCGGCTTCCTTTTCCTGTCGACACCACGACGTTCCATTAATTGGAATAATTGGCGGTATTCTCGATTTATTTTTTCGCGTTGACAACACCAGCGACGCTTGCCATTTATTATAATTATAATTCGTCTCCTGTTAAGTTTCGTTTCGACTTATAAATTCCGGGAATACGCATTTTGACCGAGCCGTAATCACCACGTGAGTTTGTGCTGCAAAAAATAGGGTTTGTTTACTTTTACAGCTTATTCTTACTGCAATGCTAATTAATATCAAATCCTAATTTGACTTTTGATATGTTTTCTACTTTGTAATCTTAACTATTTTTTATTATTAAAGCTATAAAATATCAAAAGAATTTGAAAGCACTGATTGCTGATCTTCTCCTGCTTTAATATAAAATATACCTATCCTATGTGTTGAATATTGCAGCGTAGATGTGAACAAAAAATTCTACGCAATCTCTTAACCCAGCACACGCGACAATCAAGTAGAACATGTTGTGCTATTGCAAGTATCAATAGCTTTGTAAGAAAAAAAAGTATTGTTAGATGGAGCAAGTGGCTATTTTATGGGTGTAAAATTTGTCAGGACTCCAGTATGGGTAGCTGATTTCGGCAGGTGTGCTGACATCGTCTACCTGGGCGCGTGCCTTGCACCGTGATTGTACGATTTAGTGGGTTTTCCCCCCACAATGGGGTAATAATACGGGGCTATTTACAGAAAATACCTACTTTGAAATAATAAATAAAATAAAAACTTACTTCTTATTTAAATATTGACCTTATTACCACAAAAAAGTAAGTCACTGGTTTTACAAAAAAAAATAAATAAGTACAAAATTTGCCTAAAAATAGTTTTAATAAAATAATTTCTAACTTTTTTGTAGTCAATCGAATCTTAATTTGGTCAATTTATAAATAAAACTAGTTTTTACGGGTTAATGCACGAAACTTTATTTATTTATTGACGTTTCGTAGTCTTTTTGTTTGCATAATTTAACATAAGAAGGAGATAGAAAGCCTCTCTTGAGTTTGTTTCGCCGGTTCTTCTCAGAAAGGTCTCCCAATTTTGGAACCGGTGGTAGTTTACGGTAGTTAGGGTCAAATAAATAAACTCAAAATTACAAAAAAGAATTTTAAATAAAATACTTTATTAAGTAAATTAAATAATAAATTCATACATAGACAATAAAACTTAAAAATCGAAGTGATGTGCGTGAACCAGAATCTAGAAAGAACCTAAGAAACAAATATTGGTCAATTTATACTTTACTTACATAATAAATACCCGCAATTAAAGAAATTAGTTACTAGGCAGTGAATAAAAATAAAAATTAAAATAGTTTTCTGTGATTATCTAAAAATTCGTCGCATATTGTAGGTAGACTAGTGTAGTTGATACAGCTGAAATATTTTTGCTGTTTTGTATTTCAAACGTTTGCTTAAGTTTCTCGGTTACAAAATATCCTTATTTCACCTTTAAATCATCGAACTGGTCGCACAGTCTTATATCTGTATAAGGATATCATTTTGATTATTTGATGCGATGGTCCTTTGTTAAACTTTTAATTTGCATACAAATAAAATGGCTGACTCGACAAAAGCTGCCTTTGTCGTTCGATCTTTACACAGAAATCGAAGTCGATCTTTTATCTCTCATTTATATTCAATATAACTGTCGTAAATAATCGTATTGACATTCAATATTTATAAAGGAAAGGTTGCGTGGGTTAGCCGGCAGACTGTCACACCGTGTCGTAACGTAACGTTGATCTCTTCATTCATCGCATCGACAACGTCTATTTCTGTCGTGCGTTGGTACGAGCCGAATAATGTTGGCCTTCGATAATTTTAACATTGGTCAATAACGTCTGACGTGTAACTAATTATTCAAACATTAATTGAAATTATTTTGAAATTAGCTTCTGTTACTACAAAGATACATTTCTAAGCACACAATGATACATTTCTAAGAAATTACATTAGTAAAAACGCGAGGATATGCACTACACCTTGGAGAGTTTTTGATTTAAGAGCTGTAAGAGAAGAATAAATAATTTTTATTTGTCTCTGATCTTGGTGTTTGTGTTATGGATTTTATTTCTGATTTGCACAATGCGGGTTTCCCTAGCTTTGGATAAGATCAAATGCTTAAAGATCTATCAACAATGAGAATTAATGCACAGATTAGGAGATGGTATTAGAGTAGCCTGTGGTGGCTGCTCACTAGCAGGTCTTGTGATGTGTCTGTTTGCAACTCTTCTTACATAATAATAAATAAATATTTCCAAAACTCACACCAATTAGCCTAGCCCCAAAGTAAGCACTGTAAGGCTCGTATTATGGGATACTACGGTAACGGATAGAATATATATATTATACATATATAAATATATTTATATAGAAATACATATAAAACTTAAATGACTGAAGTACAAATGCTCGTATTCATCATACAAACATCTGCCCCCACCAGGATTCGAAACCGGGACCTCTCGAGTCGCTCTTGTCAATTACCATGAAACCCAGCGTACAAACCATTCGGCCACAGAGCTCGTCACATGATAAAACGTACGGC